GATATCTACAACGTCATTTTGACTAGTCATAATTCAGTTACAGATATCTACAACGTCATTTTGACTAGTCATAATTCAGTTACAGATATCTACAATGTCATTTTGACTAGTCATAATTCGAATTCAAGATATCTAGAAAGGACCATGTAGATATCTTCAACTGATGATAATTAAAGATATCTTGAACTTGAATTATGACTAGTCAAAATTAAATTGTAGATATCTCAAACTGAAATTACAGATATCCACAATTCAGTTGCAGATATCCGCAACTACATTGTAGGTATCTATAATGACAAACCCCATACACATGAATGGCAAAAATAGTTTGAATCTTACTAGTCAAAACTGAATTACAGATATCTGTAATTAGAGTTTTGACTAGGAAAAATTATGTTGCAGATATCAGTAATGAATATCCAGTCTAGCGATTAAATGTTAAAACGGCTTGCCATAGGCGCACGCCCGGCTTGTTAAATAGCCTGTAACCATGACAACTGTGTGACACAAACTCAGTGCTTTAGTCATTAAATAATGGGCTCGGTTCGGTTTCGGACATAACACAGAATGACTGTCGGGTTTGGACAGAAATATGCGGCCGTGCCGCACTCTAACACACACACAAGGAAAACCGGACATTATCATCAGTTTATAAACACCCCCCGGACAGGACGTCAAAAGTGGACATGTCCGGGCAAAAGAGGACGTTTGGTCAACCTATTTATCGATCCAGACCTGATGATCAGGGCGGTGTAGCGGCCACAGAAAGAGGAAGAGGATCATGTTTACCGCCTTGGTCTGTGGAGCTGTGGTGTTTCCAGGACTTTTCTACAGCTTCAGAAAAATACTGACACATACTTTCACACAGTGGAGTGAAGCAGACGTGGTTTCTGTCAGCGAGAGGTCAGCAGCACCGACACGAGCCGAGTCATTCACGTCACCAAACTCCTTTAAGAAATGCGTCAATTTAATATTGTCTGATTGATCTGTCCATTTAAATGCGTTGTTTAGATTTAATTAGTAATTAGTAGTGGTTTATATAAAGAGACGGTACATTCGGCACTAATAAAACGAACCAAGGGCTCGTTTTAGTAAAGTTTCTGTAAGAGTCCTCATTCACTTACATTATGTTACATACGCTGCACATTGGAGACGCCGTTATGAGCCGTAAGAAAAGTTTGAATTTCACTCGATTATTCGGTCATATGTGTGTGATATCTTAGCCGAAGACACCAAAATATACCTCTTAGAGAGTTACGTTTATAAATAATATTTTATGATGTATGCATCGGTTGCGATAAGCAAAACACTATAAATTCTAATATATTCCAATGGAATTTCGTGTGGTCTCTTTTCCGGGTTTTTGTGCATATTGGTAATTTTCTTCTGACTCTGTTTCTTCAGACTGGTATCTGCCATACATGCATCTTTGGCAACAGCAGCTGGAGTCATAGTGGTGACGTCCTGCAGGGATGTCATGACTGACAGGTAGGAGAATCACATGAACTTTGTAAGTAAATTTAACTAAGATATTTAAGTATTTATCACTAAGAATAAGTCTTCACCCAGATAACTAAAACTAGCGAAATAAATCCTACTTGACATGAGTGCAGCATTTGACACCATCAAAAACTCCATCCTTCTCTCCCGCCTTGAAACAGCTCTCAACACCACCTGCACTGCACCTCTCCTGGCTCAGATCCTACCTCTCTTTCATCGGCATAAACTGCAAATCCCCCACTGCTCCCCTCTCTCAAGGTGTTCCCCAAGGTTCAGTTCTTGGCCCCTTTCTCTTCATCCCTTCTCCATTGCTGCTCCCATCCTCTGGAGCTCACTCCCTAAATACATCAGAGACTCCCCCTTCATTCGCCACCTTCAAGAAATCCCTCAAAACACACCTCTGCATTGTTTCCCTTCTTACAGATTATTTCATTTTTGTTTTTTCTCTGTTTTGTTTTGTTGCTCTTGTTCTGCGTAAAGTGTCTTTGAGTATCCAGGAAAGCGCCATATAAATCCAATGTATTATTGTTAAAATCAGCGAATCTAAAGCTTTTGTGACAAAACAACATGTTGTTTGCACATTAATTAACTCAGTGAAATGCTCCCTGTCTCACCGACAGTCACTGGCTGGTCAATGGGTTTGTCATGTTCGGAGCTCCCTACATGGCCTACGACATATACGCCATGTATCTGAGCCACTACCACACTCAGAGGGTCAGAGGTCACACCAGTTCATACAGCGCCCACTCTCTTCAGACAGTGAAGGCGTTCCTCCGTAAGGACTGCATGTTAGTCCTCCATCATCTGACGCTGCTTCTCGTCTTCCTGCCCATCGCTCTGGTGAGTACGGAGAGGAGTCACTGTGGGTTTGGTGTGAACACACATGTATGTAGGGTCTGACTGAGCCTGACTGTGCGGTGTGTCTGATCTGCAGTTCTTCAGACGGGGACTGGGGGACTTCTTCATAGGCTGCCTGTTCACCACAGAGTTCAGCACGCCTTTCGTCTCTATAGGAAAGATCCTCATCCAGGTAAACTACACGTACAGCTTCGATATCCTTAAATCAGGCCTTTGAGAGAGGACGAGGTTTACAACCATAAAACTGTTCCACAGCCACTAGTGACGTGGATGTTGGGATATTTAAAGATCTGAGTCTATTTCAGTGCCCAGTGTCAGGGACAGTGTTTCACACTTACATTAAGATGTCACTTCCTGTGGGCACGGCGCCCATCAGTGACTCAACACTAGTAATCTGGCAGCTGTGGGAGGTGGAGAAGGAGAAAGTAGAGCGAGTCAAAGGTTCAAAGTCTTGTTCTCCTGTCCACATGTCGAAGTGGGCGAAACCCTGATCCCCAAATTACTCCCAGTGGTGACATCAGCACACAGCTCTGCCGTCAAGCCGACCAGCCACTGGTATTTAAATAAGAGGCTCATTGTGAAGTGTGTTGGATAAAAGTCCAATTTAAAACCTCCTTAATCTTCAGACTCAGTTTCAGTTTTGTTACTTAGAACAGTTTATTGGATTTCTCCTTCCTCCGTCATCTTGTTCACAGTCTCTCTTTTTCTTCACCCTGACATGTGCCTCTCAAACCCAGCTGGGCCTCGACAACACCAGGCTGCACAGAATCAACGGCATCATCGTCCTGTTGAGTTTCTTCACCTGTCGGATCCTGATCTTCCCCTTCATGTACTGGATGTACGGACGGCAGTTTGGGATTCCTCTGCACCGAGTGGCCTTCCACCTGCCTCTGCAGTGCAACGTGGGTAATCTGGTGATCCTGGCTCCGCAGATCTACTGGTTCAACCTGCTGCTGAGGAAAGCGAACAGAGTCTACCTGCGACAGAGGAGAGGGAATGGAGACGGAGACAAAGACAGGCCGAAGACGGACTGAGGAGTCCAAACTGTTGAGGAAATAATCTGGTTTTACACTGAGGATGAATGTATGAGAGTATTATGGCCACTGTGACGGGAAAAAACATCACAGTGTTTGAGAATAAGTAATTATATGGGGAAAAAGAATCCTAATATATTCAGAATAAAGTTGAATTTTATGAAAAACACTGGTTAAATGTCAGTGAAGATCCTCGGTACTCTCAAGTGCTATATCGTAGGCAACTCAAGCACGTCCAGCTTAGAGCTTAGATCGAGCCCAAAAAAGTAGTTGATTTCATAGCCTAGGTCTGTTATGAGGAGCCCGACCCGTCTGAGCCCGAGGATAGTGGCGGGAATTTACGACGGGTTGGGCTCCTCATAACAGACCTAGGCTATGGAACCAACTAATTTTTTGGGCTCGATCTAAGCTCTAAGCTGGACGTGCTTGTCGGGTCGGGCTCGGGCAGAGAATCTAAGCTCTAGTCCAGCTGCCAACGATAGAGCATTTAAGATTATTAAAGTTAAACTACTTTGAGTATTTAAAAAAAAAAAACTGAGTCATTATACAAGAGTCAAGTATTTTTCTCTCTTCTTGGCTTTTTTGTTAAAATATTGTTTTTTATTGGGAGTTTTTTTTTTGTGGTCATAAATTTCAATATTTTTTGCTACCAATTATGATTTCCCCTCAAATATTATGACTTTTCTTTGTGTGACTTTTTCAACTTTTTCCCCTTAAAAAATTACATATATAGAAACCTTTTTTTTTTTACTCGATATTTGACTTTTCACCGACAAACATTTAACTTCATTTTCAGATTATTATGAGTGTTTTATCCCAAAATATTTAGACTTTTCTTCAGATTTTTGACTGTATTCTCAGAATCTAAGATACTTTCTCCTGACTGTGGTCCTAATATCTCATCATACAGAGACATTCAGTGTTTATTTTGCACTACATTATTATGAAGCTTTTTTTAAAAGGTGAAGTGTGTAAGATTTAGGGGGATTTGGTGGCGTCTAGCGGAGAATTACAGATTGCAACCAGCTAAAACTTCTCCTGGTTAGAATTCCTTCAGTGTTCATTGTTCAGGAGGTTTTTACCAGGAGCTGAATTATCCACAGAGGTCTCTTCTTCTCCAAAACAATCAGACCAGGTGATTTAAACCACCAGAAACACTGAATAAAGCAGTTTCACTGTATAAATCAGTGGAACTCCGGCGCTGCTCATTGTAGTTGGGCTTCTTACTACAGTGGCTGACGCGAAAACGTGAAAGGCCTCATGTGGAGCCAGTGTTTGGTTTGTCTGTTCTGGGCTACTGTAGAAACATGGCAGTGCAACATGGTGATCTCTTCAAACAAAGACCTGCTCCCAATGTAGATATAAACGGCTCATTCTAAGGTAACAAAAACACGATTCTTATTTTCAGGTGATTATACACCAAAGAACATCTCCCTCAAATTCTACACGCTGAACCTTTAACTATAAATTTTATTTCACCTGTTACCATGTGACACAATTGTTGTGTTACAGCTGTTACAGTACGTTGTTAAAGCTTTACTAAATGGTGCAATACAGAGAATATTTTTGTACAAATAAAAAGAACTTTTGAACTACATAAGTATTTCTGTGCTTCTGAGGGGCTCGAAAACAAAGGTGTCCCAGGTTAAGTGTACATCTGTAGAAAACATACTGTCTGAGCCATCACGTCCTGCTCATGAACCAGATGTTCGGCTTCGGTTTCAGAGTATAAATGAATATTACTGAAGCAGCACAGGAGGTCATTTGCTGTGAAATATCTGCCTTTTATTCACTCAGACTCCCAACCCATCATTTTGTAATAACTTCTTTAAGTTGCTTCTTGCAGTGCATGACAAACAATATCCTTATTTTATCAGTAAATTAGCTTTATATCTACAGAGAAAATTTGAGCATTTGAGAACCAAAGCTCTTAAGTGAATACAGATCAAAAAATCAGTGTGTCTTAATCAAGCGTCGACCTCTGAGACTGAAAAATGAAGCCAAACATAAGTGCCAAAAACTGAAGTTCACTGAACGGCCACTTGAGGCTGGCTCCAAAACAGACTCAACCCCTGTGTTAGAATGTCCAACTTTACAGCAGAAATAAGGCCCAAAGTTACGTCTATTTATGGGCGGGGCCTCTTAAGTGACAGGCTGTCTGCCGATTGTGTCCTCAACCTCTCAGTGAGATCCACCCCTCACTCCTCCACAGCTCCAGCCTCTCACCCAAATATGTTCACTTCTGGCTCCAAAAAACCAAGATGGCGACCACCAAAATGCAGAACTCAAGGTTTCAAAATGGCTGTCTACAAACCAGTGTGTGACATCACGGTAGCTACGTCATTATTTATACAGTCTACAGTCTCAAGCAGCAGACGACAAAAGCTGAGCGATCTTCTGCTGCAGGGCGGCCTTCATCTCCTGGTTCTCCAGGTTGTCTGTGATGGTGGAGAAGAAGTGACGGGTGTTGTCGCTCTCCAGCGCGCTGCTGCTGTGTGGGAAAGTGGCCATGATGGCCTCATAGTGGCTGAGGATCTCCAGACTGGACAGGAACAAGGGTTCACTCTGGCCTCCTGGCATCATCACCTGGAGAAGGACATTAAACGGCTGAGACTTTCATCTAGGTTTACGAGTATTAACACATTTTGTTTTAATATATTGCCATCAAAATATCATCTACTGGCATCTCAAGCGCATTAATCAAGAACTGAAAACACACAAGTACGTCACTGGTTACTAAAAGTTAATTCGCACCTTCCAGCCAATCAGAGCCTAGACTCCTCAGTGGCCGTGGTTTTAATAATTCATACCTGGATGTGCTGAACGTGGCAGAAGAGCTGGCTGAGCACAAAAAGGACTTCTTGGCTGGGAACTGTCTCCACCTCGTCCTCCATTTGAGACTCTTTGGATTTATGAGGACAGCCTTCTGCTGGTTGAATGTCTTTGGACGTTTTAAGAGCTTTGATTGAAGTGCAGGACGGATTGGAGTCTCTAGACGCTGGTGTTTTAGGAGAAGCAGAGACAGTCAGAGCACCAGACGAAGGAAGCGGCAGCTTGGCTCTGATGGAGTTCATCATCTCCCTCACAGCGTGAGCGTACAACCTGCCAACGTGCGCCCAGCCGTCCACTGACAACCAGTCGGAGCAGCTGGAGCCGCAGAGCAGCTGGAAGACTCGCAGCAGGAAGACAGACAGGCGGAGCTCACATGAAAACCTCCTCAGGTCCAGGAGGGGCAGGTAGTCCACGTACTCCAGTGAGAAGGGAATGTGCAGGCGGCCTGAGGTGATGAGCTCCCTCAGGACTCTGAGCAGTCTGGTCCACTGGGACACGGAGCACCAGGGCAGGGTCTGGGTCACAGCCACCAGCAGGCCTTTGCTGAACATGCCAACATGGTCGGGCCGACGCTGGTCCAGGGAGAGACGGGACAACATGGTGGACTGGAGAAAGTCTGATGTAGAGCAACACTCCATCCAGGCCAACAGACCTGTCCCCTGGCCATACTGAGGCAGATCCAAACCAGACCACTCCTACAGAGGAGGGGAGACAACATGATATATCAGAAGGAACAGTCAGAAACAGAAACATGGCAGCACTGCACATGCCAAAGAAAATAATGCAACCCTCCTTTGGGTTAATCAGTAACAAATGCCACGTTTCAGCTGTTATTAATCCTGCTGCAGAGAGCAACGTTCACACAGCTGATCATTAACAGTGAAAAGATTATTTTATAGCATTTCTGCAATAAACATGTAACAGAAGGACCTGAATCAGGGTTCACACATTTTCACGGACAAAATGTCAAAGCTCTTCCATGACTTTTCAAGTAATAATAATAAATAATAATAAAACTTTCATTTCAGAAAAACATGCACTTCACTGTGTCTGCTGCACTCACCGGCCTGGTTACAGCACTTTTATCCACACACACACACACACACACACATGCAGCAGAGTCTCACTTCCCATAACAAACACCACCACACTACGTCACATATACACGTAACGTCTGAAAGCAGAAGGCTTGGCCGCTATAAGTCATGGAGAATGAGAACTGTGCAAGTTTTATATTTGTATCAAGCATCAGATAAGTTGAGTTAATTTGTCTTACTTGACTTGGCTCTTGCACGTCTTTAAATGTGACTATTGTGCATCACAGTGTCGATACTGAAATGATATATTGTGCAGCCCTAAGTTGATGCATATCAGAGCTACGTTATGTCAACGGCTAACTGACAGAAAATAAATCCACTGTCATGTTACATTATGTGGAAGGTTATCCCTGGAAGATTACTGTAACAATTCATTTTATTACAAAGTTCAATGAGTTTTTCAAAACCTTCAATGATTTTTACTACTTCCATGACTTTTCCAGGTTTTCCATGACCCTGGATAAAAAAAAAGCATGGTCAAAATTAGAGCATCAGAGGCCGAGATACCCTGACTTTTAATCCTTAGTTTGGATCAAGCTCCAAGAACACTGGGTTCTACATTTCCCATAAAGGGCCGTACACATGCCGCGTTTTTTGCGCCCTGAAATCTATTGTTTTCGATGGAGACGTGCGGCAGGCGTGCTCAAACGCCAGAGCGACGCCGTTGCGAAATGCACATGTTCTCAAGCACCTATTTTCCATGGCACCCCTCAGATCAATTAGAGTTGAACTTTTGAATCGCAGCAGCGGGCGCCGCATGTCACGTGATGAAAAACAGCCAATCACAGTGTTGGGAATAGAATGATGTTATGTGTTTTACTATAAGTTGTGTTTCACTATATAAGTTTTAGATGTGTGAACAATGAGAATACTGAGATGATTTCAGCTGATCTGAATGTGTTTGCTTTGCAGAAGTGGAGAAGTACAGGAGAGGAAGAGACATGAAGTCTGAGGAGCACATACCGCAATGCTTAGATAATTAGTTTCATATATGGTAAAAAGAATAGAAAGTGATATACAGATAGTAAGGTACAGCACGTGTAGGGAGTTGTGTTGTTCTCTTGTCTTTCAAAACAGGAACCACGCCCCCACCGCCAGCGGGAAGGAGTCAGATTAACACGAGGCAGGGGCGTGGTGTGGTGAAGGAGGAAGTGGAACTGCCAATGAGAAGAGGACAACGCCTTGCGTGCACAATGACACTCTGTTACGCTCAAATATACTGGGTCAGGGAAAGGACAGGAGGTCAGACTTCGTGAACTGACACACCTTTGTTGTTGGTCAGGGAAGTGAAGTTGAGACCCAGAGCTCTGTAATTTTATTCCTTTACTGCTTAATAAACTACATTAACTGAGACCGAATATCTTCTCCTATTGCTTCATTCAAGAACACGCAGGACTGAGCTCACACATAGCACATTAGAGAGTAGGATGAGACTCTTAGTCCATCAACAGCCTACGGATATCTTTCCTTCTTCCGTAAATATCAGTCTGTGATAAATATGGAGAGGAAGCTGATCATGTTAGAGAAGGGCTGCCAGAGCTTTACATCGGTCCCAAAGACAATATTTTAGGCCTACACACAAAGAGCACCTGGAAGAAGATCAGCTCTGCACTCAAGATTTCAGGCAAACAGACTCTGATACGATGCTTGTTAAGGTTGCTTAGCAACTTCAGACGCAACCTGACTCAGCGCTCTTGAAAGTTGGCACAGAGCAGACACAGCAGTTGCACTCAGCGCCTGACCTTGCGTTTTCCAGGCGGTAAAAGATGCGGCATGTGTATCGCCCCTAATGCAGCAAACAAATACCCAATTTTTTGACACAGGTTTTCTGTTGAAGCTCAGGTAACTATGACGACATCACGGTCACATGATCAGGATTATTTGATCTGACTCGACAAATCTCTTCAGAGCCACAGAGGACACTGTGGGGGTCTACACTCGATGATACCTTCATATCTTTGTACATCTTACTGCCCTTAAAAGAAACTTTGGATTAAAAAATCCAGATGAGTTCTCACCTGCTCAGGTAGATCACACACAGTCAGCAGAGAGGAGGGGACCTCGTTTTTAAAGTGTTCCCCCCAAAGAGGCTTCAGGTGGAAACGAACGGTCCAGTCCAGTTCCTCCATTTTATTGTAGAGCCAGAACAGAGCTCTGGACCAGCTGCTGGGAGCAGCCGCCACCTCTGCACCCAACACCTGCCCCAGTGTGGTCAGCACCGACACCAGCAGCTCCTTGGTGTCCATAGACCAGTGGTGGAGGCTGCCCTCTGGTGGCTGCTCCCAACACCTACAGAGGTGTCAACGGAGAGTTGGTGAAATCAAAAGCAGGTTAGCGTTGTCACTTAAAAAGATTTGGTTCAGGAATAAAAGTGTAATACAAGAGGGTATATGGGTCTGGATTGAAGCCTGTAGAAAGAATTATCTGACAAACCTGAGAGTCTGGTTGAGCAGCTGGGCCAGGATGTAGAGAAGAGGAAAGGGAGAGCAGTCCAACACCCAGTGAGGAGATGAGGCTGGTTCCTGGACGTCCACAGACAAAGCAGTGTGGAGAAGCTGCAGACTCAGTTCTATATCAAAGGAGCTTTGACCTGGAGGGATTGCAAAGAGGTTCGTTAGAGCAGAGAGACTCCTTTACATTCTAATGTAAATTTTATCTGGGTGTGTAAGTCCAACTTTGAGAAATCGATTTCAGTCGCACTAACACATTTACATGTATTTTAAAAGTCTGGCTTTAGTTGGACTTACACAATAAACCAGTTTTCTATGCAGTATGATGACTGTCAATATTAATATCACAGTAAACCTTACAACTGGTAACTGCTGCATCCATATCACTGATATATAATTAATATATTATGAGACCACTATCAGCCTCATACTGGTTTAACTGTCTAATTTATTGTTGCATAACTGCACAGAAAAGATTCATAGACACACATTTAAGCCTGGACGGAGACACATTAGTTGTATGAAGGACACTCACGACTGGCAGTGGAAAGGTTAGGCAGGACGAAGATGTTCACGACCTCCTGAGGTGTCAGAAAGATTTGCTTCTTGTCTTCCTCTCCTTCAGCTGTCATGACAGGCGCCATCAGCAGACTGAGATACTGGAGGAACTGATCTTTTTCATTGGCAGACAGTGATTTGGTCTTAATCATCTCCTGCAGACACCTGCAGAGCAGAGCGCTTCCACTCAGCGCGTCCTCTCCATCTTCATCACTCTGAGCTTCATCTTTTCCTTCCCTCTGTCCTCTGAGTCCGGGCAGCTGCTGTAGGATCTTCGCCATCAGAGAGAAAGCACCTTTATTGAAAACAGCTGAATGACAACAGGACCTTATAGCCGCTTCAGGGTTCTGAAACACAACTCTGGCCACTAAAGAGACTGCTGTGTTCAGATTGCCCTGCGACGCCACCGCTGACGCTGCGCCACCTCCTTGAATGATGCAGTTGAAGGCCATGTTGAGCTCCTGCTCAAACCCACCAGTCACTGCAGAGGGGACAGGGCGCCCAAAGAACCCCCTGCTGGACAGTCTCAACATGGCAGCCAATGCTTTGTTCTTCTCTTCCAAGGAAAGTGCAGAGAAAATGTCTGTGATGACTTTCATCAGCTTCCTGCACTGGCTCACATCAGCGCTCTCACTGTGGAGTTTACTCATGAGGGTGGAGGTGAGTTTGATCAGTGTGTCGTGCTGCTGGAAGGCTGCTTGGTTCTTTTCCAGGCAGTCCATCCAGAGCTCATCACAGGCAGCCCAACTATTCTCACTGGCAAATAACACTGCAAAGTTCTGATAATCCTCCAGGCGGTGATTGATGATGAACGTGGTGACCCTCGTGTTCACCTCAGGGCTGCTCTCTGTGGCAGGGAAAGCCAGTGACGCCAGCAAACCTCTGAGTGCGTTCTTCTCAGTCTCTCCATCATCGATTTCAGTCATTGTTTCAGACACTTGTGCTTTCAGTAGAGCTGTCAGGACTCTCTGTACACTTTGTTCCAGTTTAAACACTGAGTAACTCGGATCAGAGCCATCACACACTTTCAGGAGACCGCTGTTTTGCCAAAACTGAGCAAGTTCTGTTATAATCTTCAGGGCTTCACCCAGCTTCATCCTGCTGCACTGAAACTGAGATGGTGTGTAAGATGCACGTAGGTCTCTCTGCGCCTCCCGGATGAGATCAGGACTCAGTTTCTCATCATTCTTTTCTCCAATGCTCACGACTTTAGACAAGATGTGCATCTTCTCTTTGGTTGGAAGTACAACTGCTTGGTCTATTAGGAAGGCTGTATAAAGAGCATCCAGAGAAGTGGAGAGGGCCTGGAGGCAAAGGTCTGTTGTAGATATGTGATCTTTTATGTCTTTAAGTGCATAAAAGAGAATGTGCAGGACATCAGTGGTTGGTGAGGATGCTGGTAGATCTGATGCATCAAGCTTTTGCCTCTTGGCGGCCTGAGGGGACAGACCGGAAGACTCAGATGAGAGACGAGCAAACTGTCTGGAAAACATCGTCTCTACGCTGTCCTCTCCTCCTGCTTCAGTCTCATCTTTGCCTTTCCACAGTTCCCACCACACCTCCAGAAAAAGTCGAACATCGTCCTCTTTGGTAGGGCTGCTCCTCACGTGCTGCACAAACAGTTCGAGCTCAGCACAGATCTGAGATCCAGGAAGATACAAGAGTAGATGTGCATATATCTGAGCAGCTGCCAACGACTTAACCATTTCCAGCAGGACAACACGGTTGACCTAAGGGAGGCCGTTCTGGAGGGGGAAGAAAGGGTTCTCCCTCCAGGCCATCTCTACGTCCTCTCCACTATCCCTGGACAACACCTTCAGCCACACAGCACAAACTAGTTTCTTTATCCAGCTGAGAGACGTTGTGGAGAGATGACCTGGGAGTTCATCCTGTCCGCAGATTTCTCTGACTGCCTCCAGGACTGGATGTCCCACCCTGCTCCAGTCAGCTTTCTGAAGCAAGGACAGGGATGAGGGGTGACACAGTTTATCAGCCAGGAGGAAAGCACCCTGAAGAACAGCTGATTCTGAAAGCACAAGAGAGCAGGCGTCAGAACTGAGGAAAAAAAGGGGACAGCCGTGATGACACAACCAGTGTTGCAACTAAAATTGATTTTAATTAGCGATTAATCTGCAGGTTATTGTTTCAGTTAATCCTTTTGTCTATTAAAAAAAGGATTAACATGGTCATTGTATTGTCCTAGAGCCCAAGGTGCCATCAATAAATTCCTTGTTTTGTACAACTGACAGTCCAAAACCCAAAAATGTTCAGCTTACTATTACAGCGGCAACAATTAACCAATTAGTTGTCAACTATTAAATTAATCACTACTTAATTTGATAATGGATTAACTGGTTTGAGAATTTTTTAAAGAAAAAAGTTGAAATTCTCTGCTTCAAGCTTCTTAAATGTTTCTCTGGTTTCTTTCCACCTTTATGACCATAAACTGAATATATTTGGGTTGTGGACAAAACAAGACATTAAAGGGCCTCACCTCAGCTTTTAAAAACAATAACTGACATTTTACACCATTTTTTGCGAATTTATCAAGGTTCCCACACATTTTCATGAATAAAATTTCACTTTCATGACTTTTCAAGGACCCATAATAAAATTTTCATTTCAGAAGCATGCACTTCACTGTGTCTGCTGCACTTGCCTGCCTGGTTACGGTACTTTCCTACACACACATGCAGAGTCTCACTTCCCATAACAAACACCGCCACACTACACCACATTTACACATAACATCTAAAAGAAGAAGGCTTGGCCGGTATAAGTCAAAAGTCAGAGAGTGTATTTGGTCAGAAATATTGTTATGTTCCATTTTGTCTTCCAGTCCTAGCATTCATGAAATACTTATGAGGGGAGTTAAAATATCGAGATATATATCATGTATTGAGATATAGCCTAGAAATATCAATATTATTTTCAGGACATATTACCCAGCCCCACTTAAAAGCATATCACACAGTATGGAGCAAAAACGTTACAGACAATAAGTGATAACAGAAATATGGCACATGGCATGGCTAAAATACAACAAATGTTACTTAAACAAAGGGAGGACATTTTTCTAGTAAGCACCTCGTTTACAAGTGACTTTTGTCTTATCTGAGTGTACTGAGATGAGAGAATTAATTTAAACATAGATGGACAAACAATACTTTGGCAAATACCTTTCTCTGTAAGCCATAAAGCTTACATTTTGACATTTAGACAAAATATGATTCTCATCGCCCACACTATTCTGCTGGTTTCTAGATCTTCCACTGACTTTAGAAACTCTAGTGTTGTTAACTCTAAAATTACAAAAAGCCTGTCTGTGCTTTTCATGCAGCAGATGCTCCTCCAGTTCAAGCTCTTGATTAATTTGGACATTTATATGTCACATGATGTCATACCTCTAAACTCACTTTGGCACTTTTGCATGAACTGATTTTAGCCTCTGTTCATCAGTTAGTTTCAATATTTGACATTCTCACAGCCTTCTTCCGACTAAATAAGATAACAGTATCAACTACTTGTTAAATAAGAGACTACTAGAGACTTCAATCTTTTGGGATAAACTGCATTGCTTACGAAGATGGCAGCTTGAAAAAAAAATTAAATGTAGCGTCATATTTTCCACATAGAAAAGTGAGACGTGTTTTATGGCTAACTTGTAATAAAAGTTTATCTTACCTTTGTTCATCTTGAGTGTCACAGCTGCTGGATCTATCTAAATGCAGCTAAGCTAACGTTAGTTTGCTAATGTTCGTCCGGTTTTTAATACCCGGAAATGAGCTGTATCACAGCGGGTCGGTCAGAATAATCTATCTAGTCCATTAAAGCACTAATACTGCACATTATACCGCACTGTAGCTCATAAAATCAAATTAAATCTGACAACTTCATCCGTTTTTCACACGTTTTCAGTAGCATGTCAACAATTCGTATAAAGCGCTTCCGCCATTCCGCGTCAACGTGTCTGTAGCAAAGAGGGCCCCGCTCAGGTGTTCACATGTGCTCACAGCGCCACACAGGACGGAGTCGGTACTGCAGGTTTAAAAGCGTAAAAACGAAACCGCCTGTTTAATAATATTCACTGCACCATGAATCAGCGCGAAATGTTTCTGGAGCTGCACTAAGATAATATGTGCTTTATATTTACTTTCCTGATTATAGTGATGTGTAATTATGGTATACACTAGTTTACACTGAATAATATACAGCCTGGGAATGAGTGATGAACAATATGTATGACACACTCATACTGTGTCATTTAAAATATTACAGTTTCACATCATATATTGTAGTTATTTTAAAATGTTTTGTCAGTGATATTTCATCTACCTACCACGTGATGCGAGAGGCAGGCGAAGTGAGTTTTTTTTTCCGGTGAAGTGAAAGTGAAAGTATCCCTCCTCCAACGGCTCGGTGTGGTGCTGGAGCAACAAGGAGCGATTTCTACCAATGTATAATCATGAGTCTGATCTTAAAGATACTCGGCTTCTTGTATCTTTGTTTGGGTAAGTTATCGTCTTCAGCTTTGTTACAGATTGTGACGTTTTAGGGGCGAATAGCCCAAAGGACATGAATGAAATGACTGCTGTAGATACTGTACTTCACAACACTGAACTGAACTGTACTAAGCTGTAACTGTATGGTACTGAACTATTGCATTACTATACTTTACTACTGTACTCTACTGTACTCTACTGTACTGTACTGTACTGTACTGTACCATGATAGTATAATGCTATAGTGCATCATTGTACTTTACTGTGCTATGCTATGCTATACCAACACCATACCAGGGTTGGAAATCACCTTATTTATCCACCCGCCACTGTGACCGGTAAGTTCCAGAATTTACCGGCCTCTCAACAGAATATTATTTGCATACTGTACCAGCATTTGGCTGGCGCTCATTTACAACCCTAACAATAATGTCTACACTGCTAATACTATATTGAACTACACTGTACTATGCTGTACTACACTTTACTAACTACATTATTGTACTGTGCTATACTATACTGATATTATGCCATTCTATATTGTACAGCACTCTGCTGTTCTTTGTTATACTGTACTATACTTTACTGCACTATATTATGCTGTACTCCATTGTACTATACTATACTACACTGTTTTGTGTTAAACTATACTAACAGTATACTGTACTATACTACACTGCAATATACTGTGCTGAGCTACACCATACTATATTATACCACATTTTACTGTGCTATACTATACTAATATTATACTATGCCATTCTAAACAATACAACACCCCCCTGTTTTGTGTGGAACTATACTATGCTGTACTATATTGTACCATACTATATGACACTCTTTCTATGTTATACTTACCAACACGACTACGCCATTCTGCACTCTATTATACAATACTACACTGTTCTGTTTTATGCTATACTATGCTAATACTGTACTGTACTATAGTATACTATACTATAATACTATGCCATTATATACTATACTATACAATCCTGCACCGTTCTGTGTTACACCATACGATACTACACTACACTGCACTATGCTGTATTATATTAACACTACTATGCCATTCTATACTATACTATACTAAACTAAACTATACTATACTATTCTATACTATACTATACTATTCTATACTATAGTATACTATTCTATACTATAGTATACTATTCTATACTATACTAAACTATACTATTCTATACTATACTAAACTATACTATAATACTATACTATAGTATAGTATACTATAATACTATGCCATTCTATACTATACTATTCTATACGATACTATACTATAATACTATGCCATTATATACTATACTATACAATCCTGCACCGTTCTGTGTTATACCATACGATACTACACTACACTGCACTATGCTGTACTATATTAACACTACTATGCCATTCTATACTATACTATACTATACTATAAGTATACTATACTACACTGCACTGTACTGTGCTGTAGTGTACTGTGTTATACTATACTAACACCATATTACGCCAGGCCACACCACACTATACAATACTACTGTTGAATTGACAGTTGCCATTCACATGCTAACAAATCTCAGATATAAAGACGAAAAACATTATCATGTACAAGGCTACTAATCCCTGTCTGGGTGTTTCTCTTAAAATCTTTTACTTATGAATCTCTAATAGCACTTATTTTAATATGTATGTAAGTATTTATTGATTTTAGCACTTTTCTACTAACACACACAAGCTGATATTACTTTCTTTAATATATCTGATAACACGTGAACCTGCAATTGTCTATAGGTAAATTAGCTTTTAACAGTTTAATTTTAAATTTTTCAATATTTGTTTGGGTACTGTGATTTTAACTTTGATCAATGTCAATATACCACCTTGATGAGGGGTAGTGTACTGTACTATACTACACTACACTACATTACATCATATTATATGTTGGCTGACTGTACTGACTTTTTGTGTCTCTCAGGTGTGCGGTGTGTCCACCAGGTGTCATGGCTGCCCTGTCAGTTCACTGATGAACACGTGTTTGTGAATAAAGAGGGTCACACTGAGACTCAGCACATCCACCGAGAGGCCATGCTGCAGTTTGGTCAGAAAGGAGACGCTCCAGTTAATCCAAATGCCATCACTTTCCTGATCACTGGTGAGACCTGTTGTTTATAGAACTAACAGACTGAAACCTGTTGTATCCTAACGTGTTCTCTTCTGTTCCAGGATCAAAATTGGACCTGCGGCGGTATTCAGATGGACTGGATGCAGATCAGTTGGAGTGTGAGGTGCGTAGGTACAGTACAGAGGGCATCTATGTCCGCTGGCCAATCCAGGAGGCCCAGGAGTATAACCGCTGGTTCACCTGCACCCTCAGACACTCCAAGGACCTGTTCACAGTCACCAGCTTCCTCAGACACCCATCCAACCAGGCTCCCCCAGGACAGCAGGACTACCGCAGCTGGCCTGCCATAGAGGACAGAGAGATACTCACCACAACAGGTAACATTCAGCACAGCGTCTTTTATTTGAATCGTTTTGGGATAAAAAATATTGCAAGTTAAGTAGCCAAAATTTTGCCATGACTTTATTTTGTAAGGCTTGAAGATAAACTGAGACCAGGCTGATCATCATAGTAATGATGCACTAAACGTATCTCTGTCTCGTCACATCTGTTTCCATAGTTGCCATGGTCATTAAAACACTGACTCCATCAGTGAAAGCGGGCCTGGGCTCCCAGCAGAAGCTCCACTGTCAGTTTGCCGTCGACCACAAAGGACCAAACGTCACGGTGGAGTGGCACATGCAGCATCGTGGAGAAAGAACCAGACTCTTCAGTCACAACAGCCGCTTAGGACAGACCCAGGGGACGGGGGTGGGGCTGAGGAGCCTAGGAGGAGGCGATGTTACCTACACCCTCCCGTTCACCAAGATGAGCAGTGAAGGAACTTACATTTGTTCGATTTCAGTGATGCCACTCTCCGTCAGCCTGGATATAAATCTGAATATTGAAGGTGAGGAAGAGTTATAGAGAGGATGCTAGTAGCAGCCAGGCAAGAGGGATGTTTTAGGATCTATCTATCTATTTATCTATCTATCTATCTATCTATCTATCTATCTATCTATCTACACTGTCAGAAAAAGGTAAAAAACACCCGAGGTGAAGTCTTCAAATTGTTTGTTATAAAGATAATGGATCTTGCACATGTTAGCAGCTGGGCTCAAACTCATTACAGAAATGTCTTGCTGGAATTGCTTTAATAATAATTTCATCATTCATTCACTAACGTCAATCCTCCCCTCTCCTCAGAGCCTCCTCGAGTCTCCCTCAACATCGGACCCACACTCTCCCTGCAGGAAGGCGGGGAGCAGAAGGTCACTTGTGATGCGGACAGTTACTTCCCTCTGGACGTGGAGATCATTTGGTACGTGCAGGACCCGGCAGTGTCAGGCCAGAGGGTGGGCGCTCCTCTTCCCAGGGTGCTTGAGAACGTTCTGCTGTCCAGCCACAAACACAACCAGGACAAGACGTACTCACTGACGGCGTTCTTCTACCTCCAGGCGTCACTCAGGGACTCAGGGAAACAGTTCACATGCAGCGTCTCACATCGGTCTCTGAGGGTGCCCATCAGGAAGAGCTTCATCCTGACTGTTGAAGGTGAGTGGAGGGTACAGTCGCACTCACTGTGCTGCTGCAGTACTGTGAGCTACCACACTGTGGCAGCAGAGGAACATATCTGACACCTGATGTCATGTTTGTTTTCTCTGCTCAGAGCCGACCAGCTGGATGTTTTACTTCACTGTTGGCCTCCTTATGGTCGCACTGGCTGTCGTCCTGTATGTGCTGCTGCGTTACCTGGACTCAGGTGAGTGAGGAGACCCTCATACAGACAGAACAATGAACGAATGTCTCATTATTAACCACTGTGTTTGTATCATTTGTGTTGACACGTGAAAAACTAATTATCATTCCTTTTCTCCACAGCAAGAAAAAAATCACTGCAGGTGAGATGATATGAAAACAAACATGTTGTGTTTAAACCACTGCCACTGATGCAAAACAGTGCTTCATTTCTGTGTGTGTGTGTGTGTGTGCGCGTGTGTGTGTGTGTGTGTGTTTTCTGAGTAGAAGAAGCCGTACTGAGCAGCCATGGAGGACTGAGCAGATTAAGAGGAGGAACACCAGTGAAGGCAGACGGTCCTCCTCCCTCAAACATTTTTGTTTCAGAATGTCTCAGACGTTTGAATTTTGTTTGTTTAAAGGTGAATTTGGGTTTCTGTGAAACTGATTTTGTTTCTTTGTGTGTGTGTGTGTGTGTGTGTGTGTGTGTGGTATTAATTTTACTTTGATTTTGCTGACGCTAAAAACTTGATACTGAAGTAAGTGATTGGCCTCCTGGACGAACGACTTTTTGACTCCTAGTAGCACCATGGTAACACACATGCAAGT